TTATTATTCAACTAATAATAAAAATGCAATAGCATAAATAACATGATAATACAAGATCTAACAGCAGAGGTAAATTTCCAGGATAGTAAATAGAATTGGCAGTCAATTATAGATTGTTGATTGTAGATTAAATAGACCTACAGTATGTAAAATCTGGCATTAAACTGTAGTATTAATTAACATAAGATGTTGCTTGTTTTCTATCTAGATCATCTATCTACTTGAGGCCACATAATTGTAATCCAGTCCAATCCAGTCTTCCAACAGCACTCCACTGGCCAAAAACAGGCCACATGGAGGCCCCATGAGGCCCCCACAGGGCCTGTTTTTTGTTTCCCCAGCCACCAGCAACACTGCCAGCCAAAAATGGGCTGCACGGGGACCTCACAGGGTCCATTTTTGGCTGGCAGAGGTCTGCAGGAGGCAGGGTAGGCTGAAAACGGGCTGTGAGTGCATTCATGCGGCCTCCCTGTGGCCCATTTTGGCCAGCAAAGGCACCACAGACCAGTCCTTTGATATTTCCAGGTTGGCCCCCTGGCCTTGAGTTTGACACCCCTGGTGTAGACCAAAACCAGCATAGGTTTATGTTGCAATAATGGGAAAGCAAATTTTGTCCTGCTAGGTTTAATCGTAATTAAATATTGAATTAATGACGATATTAACATGGTAATTATTCCTACATTTTAAAATCCAAAATTGACAGTTCTGGCCCTAGCGACAATTGACATAATTACATCCAATGTTAAGTAAAACTCTGCTTAAGGAAATTCATACTTATATGGGAGACAAAAAGAAAGTATGGTCAATTCCTGATGATACTGTACAAATTATAATGCTATTCTTAAGTAATATGAAACACTATGTCTTAACTTTTCACATGTTTTATTTTTTTCAATTCCTTGTTCAGGGTTTTGTTGTTGTTGTTGTTTCAAGACAATAAATGCACAGTAATTGTTTTAATTACTGAATATAAACACATTTAATGAAAATGGTTTAGCTCTTTTTTTCACCCAGAATTTATAACTGTTCATTGTTATGCCAATACTGTATATTTGGACCTAAGGATACAGATGGTAATATTAATGATCTTACTTGTTATGATAGGTTACAGGAGTGTAAATCTCCTGTATGAACTCTGGACCTGTAGATTTTCCAAATATGACCTAGGCAGCAAAATATAAGTCATTAAATGAAGCAAAGTAAAAAGTTACCATGATCCATAGATATTTTTTGGGGGGGGAGAATATATCAATAATTTTAAATTGGCAATATCGTTTTTATTTCTGATAATGTTGAAGTCATGCAACCATTATTTTAAAATATAAAATCATAAAATAGATTTGTTATGTTGTCATTTCTTTAACTGGTGATATGAAAATACAGTATTTTAAATTGGCAGATTGTAAAACAGTCAATATCTATCTTCTTAGAAAGGAATAGGCATGTATTGCCCCTGCTTCATCAAGTGTCTTATTTTTATATACATCTTTTATGTTTTATATATCTTTTATAGTGTCTAGCAGCCATTTACTGGACACTATAAAAGATGATACTGAGATGACCTTGGTGCATCTTAAGGAGACAGAGGGGCACGGAGAATGCTGATCCATAAAGTGGTCGAGGGTTGGACATGACTGAATTGCTGATGACACAACAATGTTTCATCAACCCATGTTTTGCAGTCCCCAGATATCCGCTAGGATTATATAACTGAAAGTTGGCCACAAAATCTCAACTGTTAGTGGCAAAAAGCTGGTCAACCTGGCTGTAAAATAAATGTGAATAGCTCCTGGGATGTATGTTTGTTTATGTGTATGTAAAACAAAGTTTCAATCAAGTGAAACTGAGCATTTTACTCTATAGCTAGCTGTTAAATGAAATTATAACCAAAATTGATTAAAATAATGCTTTAGCAAATAAATTATCAGAGCATAGCTAATTTTTATTCTTTGATCGTACAGGTAATCCTTGACATATGACCAGTCACTTAATGGCTATTCACATTTATTTTACAGCCAGGTTGACCAG